TTTAAACTTGATCAAAGTTTGTATACAGATTGAATTTTAATAATAATAACTTTTAATTTAGTTAATAAAATTAAAATAAATACCTTAATTTACCAACATTGATGTTCTCTGTCAGTGATTTTGTAAGTGAATATACTAAACATATTGAATGCATTACAAAATCATTGAAATGGATAAACTTAGACTATTACAATAATATTCTATTCATTCTTATTTTAAAAGTGGGAATCTAATCAGTCGGAGAATGAATATATATTGTTGAGTATGCTCAATATTTTTATGTTTTTTAGTGTTTTTATATTCTTTGTGTAGGTTCAAAGCTGCTACTGCAGATAGAAGTGAGCTGCTTAAAATTACTTTGCAGGCGACAGATTATTCTTTAAAGATTACTTATTTTTTGATTAGTTACCTTAGGAGGTTTCACTGCTTTCATTTGTCTTTTTAAACTCTATGCATATTTTGATAGATCAATGTTGAGGTATTTGGTTGAAATCCTTATCCTAGTGGTCTGTTTGATTTGATTTCGATTGACGCATCAGTTGACTCCCAATTGATCTGAGTATCTTGCTTTCAGTAATTTAACACTATTCTTAAATTTTCAGTGATTCGGAATTTCAATATTTACCGGTTAAATTAGAGTCCTTATATGTCCGAGTTTATATAAATGATAATATATTGTATATTCAGTTTCGAACACGTAAAACCACGCCAAAAATCTACTTGAGCTTCGTAGAACCATAACGTTAATAAAAGATCCTTCCACTTTCTTTTCAAAGGTCATTGACTTGAATCTGACTTGCCATTCTCTTTTGATACCTTTACTTATTACATTTTGTAATAGTTGTATTCATTATAAGTGTAGTGAACGAGAACACAAGTAGAGAGAATCAAATGCATTTGAATACAAAGTTACAGAACATCTTAGTAAAATCTGAGAATCATACAGCAAATACCTCATTTGCAAAATGTCAATCAATCATCTCAAACTTTATTGTTCTTTCACTTCCAAACCAATCATTCTTTGTTCTTGTTCCTTTTTTTGATCTTATTTTACCTTCCGACACCAGGTATTTCATTTTCGACCGATGATACATACTACTTATATCTGTTGAGATCAGTAACACACATCTCATTACTCTGATATTTACTTCTATTACATGTTATTTTTACTCTCATCCTCTTCTCGATTAAATAATTAACTGAGTTACTATGAATATTCACTAGTCAAATACCAAACTAATAAAATTTCGAACGTTTTAAGAGATTTTTTTTCAGATGATAGTTTTCTCATTTTATTTTTTAATTTGTCCATGCATAGTGATAGAACAAACAATTGAAAAATTGAATTTTATTCAAGCAAAATTTTTTTTACTGAGATAAAGATAATTTAACTAAATTATAATGTGATGTAATTGTAAAAGAAATCAGAATGACAGATGGGGATGATAAATATCACATAGCTATGATAATAAACAAGTAAATTTTATATTTTAGTTCTAAGGCTAAAATTACTTATGATAATAATAGATTGAAATTACTTACAGCTCAAGATCTATGATCCGAAGACATTAAGTTAGCGTTCAGTACCTCAATTATTTGATAAGTAAGAAGTAGAATAATTTTAAGCTAAAATCCATCAGGTTTATAAGTAATTGGCTAAAATTACTTATGATAATAATAGATTGAAATTACTCACAGCTCAAGATCTATGATCCGAAAACATTAAGTTAGCGTTCAGTACCTCAAGTATTCGATAAGTAAGAAGTAGAATAATTTTAAGCTAAAATCCATCAGGTTTATAAGTAATTGGCTAAAATTACTTATGATATTAATAGATTGTAAGAAAAACGAATATTATTAACTTACTAGTAATAGAAATTTAGCTATTCTTATATGGAAATTTTTCATGATTATGAAAAAAAGATTATAAATTTAGAAAATCTATACTAGAATCTTACTTTATTTCATAATGGTTGCTTGTGAACTATGTTATTATTATTATCGTTTTATAAAGTACTCAACCATTTAAATTAATTTTAAGTACTTTCTGATAAGTCTTGTCAATTGAACACTATACTTGTTCCTAAGCTATTCCGGTAACCCGCAGTCTAGAACTATACAGCGACTTGAACATCAGAGAGAAAACACAAGTATAAGAGAAAATACTTTATCCCAAGGTTCATTTTTGTACAGAAAATCATAGATTTTGGCTTCTGTTAAATCAGCATCATTTTACAGCCAATCCGATAACAGCATATTATGCTACCGACCAATAGTAGCACGCCGCTTTGGAATTCTAGAACGTTCCATCACACTCTGATTGGCTAGGACTCTTCGGCTCCTTGTGGGCCTCTGGAGGCTCCGTTGAAGTTCTCCGGAAGCCGACCCAACACCTCCCCCGAATAAGATTTCTTTCTGGGATCCACTTGTAGTTTGATAACTGGATTGCGACGGCGTCCCATTATTCTTGTCGTCTTTCTTGTCCAAGGCTTCTTTTCAGTGTTGCTGGGCATTTGTGGCATTGGTGCGTCTAAAACTAAATCTAACGGAAAAATCGGCCGGTTACTTCGAGTCTGCACCGTTCTTTTGTCCTTAAGGATTTGATTTGTGTGGCGTATACATGTACCAAAAGCTCCTCGAACTTTGTACAGTACTCTTCCCAGTTTTTTGCACCACTTCGCCCGGCTCCCATCAGTTCTCCCCCCGCTGTAGGATTTAATGTAGGCTTTGTCGCCAATACTAAAGTTCCGGATACTTGGATCGCGATTACGCTCATCCACTAGTTTGGATGGCAACATGGCATCGAAGACTGTTCGAATACACCTTCCAAACATGGCTTCCGCGGGAGATTTGCCGTCTTGAACATTTGGGTTTGGGGTGGATCTGTTTGATGTTAAAAATTCTGTGATCACCTGCTCAGTCGTCCGTTCTCCTCCCCCTTTCTGTAATGCTCGTTTAAAAGTGTCCACAAAGCGCTCTGATTGTCCGTTTGATTGTGGATGATAGGGTGGGGAACGAAGATGATTTATTCCGTTGAAGTTCTCCGGAAGCCGACCCAACACTTTCTACTTTAAATTTGTTAGGATTTTTCAAAATAGTCATTGGAACAGAATATATATTCAATGTTCAAGACTAATATTAAATTTAAACAACTGATTACGAACTAAATTATTATAATAAACAGTTAGTTTATATTTTAAGACGAATGTAAGTAAAGAGGTAGAATATAAGTGTCAAGAAAGAAGGAAATCGGGAGTGTTGCTATTATTATCCTTTATTTGTTCCCTCCCACAGTAGGTTGTTACGGATAGTGTCTGGTCAACGGATCTGAGGTATTTTGCGTAAACAACTGTTAATAAACACTTGTATATTCTGGATGATGGCCTTCCTAATTACTCAAGTTACTGCCCCATCCAGCAGAATTTAGTGTTGGTTAACAACTATTTTGAGTTCCAGATGTTCCTCAGTTGTAAATATCTTGTTCTTGCATTGCTGATCCGCGCCTTCACACCTCCATCAGATCCACCGTGTTCATCAATGATGCTGCTCTGATATGTATTGGTTTTAACATCTTGCAAATCTTCTCGGTCAAGTGTGATTCGATTGTTGAATGGTGTGTTGTATCGGAGGATGTTGCTTTTCCCTTTGTGTATGTTGAGACCTGATGCTGGGGCTGTGAATGAGGCAGGTAGCGATTAACAGACAGGGAATAATTCATGAATGCTAAATTGTATAATAATAGTCCATAGGTCAAAATAAAGCTCACTATAAGAGGGACATGAATATGAACAGTTTAGTTACATAAAAATTATACGATAAAAACATACTCATAATATCGGTCCATAAATGGATCCCAAAAATTACCATTCATTATTCTTATCGGGATACAACAGGTATATTTTTTTATTATCATTCTTATAGTTATGTTCTACACTAAACTACAGGAACACAAGTGTTTAAATAGTGAAATTTACGCTATAATGCAATAGTACTATCGATTGATGCAGTGAAAACATTAAATGGCATAGGTTTAGAATAACGTCATAACAGAATAACACATTTATGTTCCGCTATAGACTACTAATAAAATAAAATCTAGAAATTTAATGATATTTTAAAACGTCTTACTTTCCTGTTTAAGTTTACTTTTGGAGAAAAGAGTTATTCTAGAACTGAACATAATACATATTCATCTGTCAAATTATTCCTTTCAAATTCTAAATTACTATCTATCTATTTATCGGTGAAGTATATCAGAACACATGTTTGACTTATACATTTTTGAGGGTGATGACGCAATCTTTAAAAATGGTGAAGTTATGTATATGTGATTCTAAAGATAACCAAATTTTTACCATCCCCTTACAGTGGTAGTTGTTCAGGAAAAAACCGCTTCGTTACTTAACTATTTCACAATACTGATGTCTTTTTTCACAAATAATTCAGAAAATATTTTCACTCAACCATTAAAAAGTATGTTAGTCTGGCCAACAAAGCCATAATGCTGACAAACAGTAGTCTCCAACTTTTTATAAATTAATATGATAACAGGTCTGTATTACATTACACATACAGTACAATTATAGATAAGTTTTAAATAAGTTTTGTTATGTTGAATTTCTCTTTCTTCATAAGTCAGTAAAAACGCTCTATTTATTACAGCAATGAGCACATATAGTTGGGTTATCAATGACTAACCCTAGTTTGGCATCTAACACTACAGTTTAATCCATAAGGATTATTCATGATAACAACGAAACAGAATAATTTAACTTCATTGACATATTCATCAAATGAAGTAAAGTATTTTCTGTTTATCGAGTTAGAATATAAAACTCTTTAAAAATGATTTATTAGGTCATCTTAATTAAAAGTGGTGTAATGTTCATCGGGATGAAGTCACGCATCTTTTTTGTTGATATGTGAAATTTAGCGACGAATAATATTCTTATTTATCAGTCTATTAATTAACTAAGTTTTTTTGTGACCATTTTTTCTAGGTCAGGAATTTAAGAATATACTATATTTTCCTCAAAGTCAGCGGCAAGTACCATCGTATACTATGGAGGAATCAACAGTAACATTTGCAGGGTCTTCTAAAATAGGTAAACATGAAAAGAATCAAGGTTGTATCACACCATCATCTTCCAGCTATGTTGAACCTAGTATTTATCACTTCACTACTAGTCAGATTGAACAGGAATCTAGATTAACACCATCGTACACCTCGGTGAACACAGCATCTGGAAACTATGCGCGGAAACATTCAAGGAGATCATTTGATATCGAAAGAGAAAAGTTCTCTTATCAAAGCGGAATACTTGAACATCCATCAATATGTCCGTATGGATTCTTGAAACAAGAATCATCCACGAGTACTGATCCGACTACTTTCACTTCAAAAATTATCTCACCTATGGAGAGCAAAAGCATAAATTTGCCTGTACCCTTTATAGAACCAGAGATTTATCCCATAAAAACACAAAAAGAATCACATTTGCAAGAACAGAGTCATACACAGTTCACCATTTCACCTACACAAAAACCTCTTCTAAGACATTATTCAGTTCCTGAAGGGCCGATATTTGAAAGGCCAGATATATACCACATTTCACATCCAAAATCAGCCCCATCTGAACAAGATTATAATACACCATACTCCAAAGATTATTTTGATGTTTTTTCTATTAGCCAGTCATCTAGACCATTAAGTACTGAAACGTTAACTAGTTACATGGTAGATTTTAGCGCAGCTCCATCTCTTTCTACTGAACCAGGACCATCAACATTGATGTACAAAACATTTACCCCCTCCACCGACACTGTACCTTCCAGTTCAACTAGAAAAAGTTCTGTTGGGGAATCTTCGGAAAAACGACGATATTGTTGTCCTGAATTACAGTGTGGAAAACGATTTGCTCGCCCAGATGAACTTAAACGGCATCATAGAATACATACTGGGACTAAACCTTTTATGTGTAAGTACTGTCCACGTTCATTTGGTCGTTCTGACCATCTAAGAACACATACACGTTCTCATACTGGTGAACGTCCATATACATGTGAATCTTGTGGACGTAAATTTGCTCGGTCCGACGAACGTACAAGACATAAGAAAGTTCACAATTGTGGCCTAATTAAGGAGATTCCCTCAGGTGAAAGCTCGTTTTCTAACAAAACAACACAGATATCATGTCCACAAGAACAAATAGACACATATTCACATGAACAACTGTTAAGTACATCAGTAATTGATACATCAATACAAAGTTCGTATCTAAGCTCCGTTATTTTTCAACCATCTCTTTATACACCGATTCCATGGCAAACAACTTCAATTGAATCTAATCCTACAATGCCACAATTACATGATATTTCAATGGGAACTTTATCTCCTTCATCAAGTTGTCAACCAACATCAATATTAGGTCTACCATATTTGAATATTACATCATCACAGCCTATTGATACTTTACCTGAATGGAAAATATATACAATTACTCCACATATTCATCCAGTTACAACAAGTGATTCTACATGATCAAAAAAATAAATAAAAACATTTGTCAATTATGTATATGATAAATATATGCAACATACAAGTGATATATATATATTAGTTATATTTTTTAAATTCTAATATTCATTAGAACAATAATAACGATTTCGTGATAAAGTGTTTATTTCAAATTTAAAAAAATAGTTTAATTGAATCATTTTTACATCATTTAAAGAATATACTACTTAATTATTTTCTAATTAGTTTTGTTTTCTTACAATTTATATACATTCTATTCTTCTTTATTTTGTTTTCTTTCCATTTTTATTTTTCTAAATAATATAATATAATGTTGTTGAATAAATTTGTTGCCTGTGTTCTTTCAATCAAAATTATTCATTCCATTTAATAAGTAAAAGCTTTATGTGAAATATAAAATGAATCAAAAATATTCCATATTTATTAGATAACATTTAATTCTATAGAATTGATCTATTCTACCATTACATAAAGGTAAGAAATATAAATTCTATAATTTACAACTAAACTAAATAATAAGATGACAATCTTTTCATCATTTGCTTCACTTATTCTATCACAATGATTATCATCATGTTTGCTTAACTTGATATTGTTATGTTTTGTTTTGTTTTGTTTTTAATGCGAAGATCCAATATTTTCAGTATTTCATTACTTTCTTGTATTTACTGTGCAATTTAATCTTCCTTCTATTGTTATTTACATTTTGAAGAGAATTGCATTTAAGTAATGTTTAAAGACTTGCCTTTCCTTATTTCTCTATATTCTTTCTTATCTATTTATCATAGCTTTATTATTATTATTATTCAGAGTACAAATCTAATTTTAATTAAAAAGAATTAGATTTTATTATTTTTTAGTTACCAACATTAAAACTTCCTAAAAATAAGAAACGTAGGTATCAAACCAAATAAACCAATATAAAAAAAATGATTATTTTGAAATGTTATTTTCACTATCAAAGTGACTGATAGAAATGCAGATTTTAATCTTCAACTAACCATCTTAAACAATTTTTGTTGTGTTTTTTTTTGTCACTAGAATCTTTTTTTTCCCACTGAATTAAATACAGGTTTCATAGAACTTTATGCTTTTTACTTAATTTTATTTCTGCTAATTGTGAATAGAATATTTGATTTGATAGCAAATATAGAAAGAGTGCAGGTCTTTAACTCAATATTTTTACATATTTGTTGACATTGATAATAGTGATCAAGTTTAAGGGCAGCCATGTTCGAGTATAAAATTAATCCATAATCATCCGTAATCGATATATATATATTGCCACAACTTAGTTAATGAAATAATTCATCAAGTGTCTGATAAGGAAAACAGAGTGTTTTAAGAAAGCCAGACATATAGTACAATAAACAACACATAAACTTATTTTTGAAAGTCTAGCGCCCTTTTAGCTGAAGGGTTGATTGAAGGAGTTTACTGTCAAAAAAAACATCAGCCCAAACTTTTAAAGTAATTGATGTATTATTTTTTTTCTATGGTAATCAACACTATTTATTCAAAATTAAATTTCAGATTTTTTGCCTCGCTAGTTGTATTGCCTTTGTTTATAATGTTTTTTGATTACCATTTCTCTTACGATATGAACACTTATCTTATATTTGCTTATTACTTTTCTTATTGGCTGATAGATTCAGTTTACGTGAATGTGTCCATTAACTAAATAACTTGATTATAAACATTTTGAAGCTTTTTTTGAGTGAATAATATTTCAGTTCTTATTTATAGTTGTCTACGAATCCCAGCATGATCGAATGTACCCTACGGTATTTGATAAGTAGCTGATATTCATTTAAAAGGAAATAGATTGAAAGCACGACTCAAAGCTATAAAACTAGTACATAGTAAGTCAATACTATCCATAAGATAGCTTTCTTCATTTTCATCTTCTTAACCCAAGACAACCAGCATTTACATGCTAATAGTCTAAAGTTATAGGATATGCGTATTTTTGCTTCGTGAATTTACTATTCTGATCTTCTGATATGGCTTGATTACTATCAGGATATTTAAAAGGTAATACTTCCACAGTTGATACTCCGATTACGGTGACAGAATGCATGAAAGAGATCATCATAGAATACCTGAGAATAACCGACAACATAAACACTCAAATGGTTTTAAACTTACATAACATATTAAGCCGTTCTGATGGGACAACTTAACAGAACACGAAAATTTTTGCTAAACCAAGCAACATTATGTTATTGATGGTTTCGATGTAGCTAATATTTTATCTTCATCAGATTATTTTTTTAACTTCGTGGGCTGGTTGAAGTTAGACATTAGCACAGCTGGATGCCGGTTGAGTGGTCTAGTGATTAAGCGTTCGCACGCGAGACTGATAGGTCCTGGGTTCAGATCTCGCGGGGCAGGATTGTTGGTGCGCACTGCTGAGGAGTCCTATACTAGGATGAAACAGCCATCCAGTGCCTCTAGGTTTTACATGGTGGTATAGCTTTAATTGACTCATGAATTCAACTATTAAATCCGTATTTCTCGAATAAATCTCAACTCATTAAGATGGATTTTTATGTAGAGATTTCAGCACATTTATAAGTTTTTTCTTTGTGCAATATATATATATATATATATATATATTACTATCTGAATAAAGACATTATCAATTAGTTGGATTATTTTGGAAAATTTATTGGTTGTCGTCACTTAGTATCTTGTCTCATCTATCATGTTCAATATTTGACCTACGACAAGCTTAATATTGACAATTGCTTGCAGTTATGCTTCTTCCATCGTATTATTCCCGCTTTTGTGTTCCCTGGTTGGTTGTGTGGTGGCAAATAAGTCACTAAAAGATATAGTCCTGTATGTCTACGAGATTTGATGCTTAGCTCATTAGTATTACTGCACAGAACAGTCTGAAGGCACTCGGTCACTAATCAGTACCAAACCACGAGTAAATTTCTCGTGCTACGCATTCTGTGCAACTACTAGCCAACTTAGACCAAACGCTCCTCAACACATCGGTAGCTTTCCAACTACATCTTCGAACTTCCTTCATTTCCGACTTGTGATCTGACTGGGTACCTGTGGCATCTTTAGTGCCAATTTTGTTTTACCTGATCTTTTAGGATGGTGCCCACTGTACTGATTTGTCAATCTTGGATTGCACATACTTGGATTGATTGATTTGAATTCTTCGATTTCTGGATTGAAGTACAATTCCTGTTTGTTAAAAACATTCATTATTTTAACAAGTAGTTAGTGTTTGCAACAACTAACACTTTGTAGTTAACATTACCAAGGTTTGATTTGACAATTTGAATAAATTGAGCATTGGGTAGATTGCTATGTATAAATAATACATTTGTAATATCCCAATAAGTAGAAAAATTAAATTTTGGTTATTTATTCTCTGAAGAAGTGGCTCACACCAAGTCACGAAACGTCAGAAAATCTAATTTTTCTACTGATTGGGATATTACAAATATATTATTTATTTATAATTAACACTTAGTTTACTGTTTGTCTCACAGTTCTGATCATTCACCTTTCAGCGGATTAAACTGATCTATCGCGTAGAATAGAACCATGAGTTTCGCTTTGCAGATACATCGTTATTGTCTGATAAGTAATTGACTTTGTAGTTCACCATACACTTGTAACTAATATTTTTACAATTCATCTGTACCCGGTTTTGGATGTTGAGCTAGCGGTACTGTTCATTTCCTAGAACTGTTCAAGTATACTGAGTAAGTTGTACTTTGGACCTATTTATGTGAAGTTAGTACTATACTTTTGAGTAATTTACTGTGTTCTCGCTTTATCAAGCGGTGTGTGTCACGAACAAGATAAATTAATCTTGCAGATTGTCGTTCGGAAAATCGCACAGTTCTCTGCAGACAAACACCATACCCTATAACCACGTGTTAGTAAACATGTATGCACTGTTATATACGGCTTTTATGTCGTCCGCGTTTTTATTAGACGCAATTGGTAGAATTTACTTGTAGGATGTAATGTGGTTTTCTCGTTTACTGCTCCGTTCTCTGATTTTCGTGAAGTTGGTTTTACGTAAATCGTAAAGCAACAAACAAGCGTAGTGATACACCAACTGCAAAAATAAACTGCTAGTCTTCTGTTCACTGAGACGCAGAATTACGGCAAAAGCTTCATGCAAGTCTAACTAGCGTGGTTGTAAAACTTTTAGAAAAGATCATTTGGAAGGAGTTGCTTACGTATCTTTATGGAAACCGGATATTCTTGAGAGGCAGCATGGCTTTAGAACATGTCTTTATATATTATCAGGCTAATAGTAACCCCGTGAAAGTTGTCGCTCTTTCAAATATCAAAGCTTTCCTATCGGTCTAGACAATGATCACTTCGGCAAGGCTTTTGACGAAGTTACTCAGAATCAGTTCTCATATAAGTCAAGTAAAATCGGGATTGGAGGCAATTTATTTATGTGGATAAGAAGCGTCATCAAAGGGTGTGGGTGAACACAAACTTGTCTATCTAGGAAACTGTGTCTAGCAGAATGCCACATGGTACAGTCATGAGGCCAGTGCTGTTCCTCATATGTGTAAATGACCTTCCTAGTCTCCTGTCATCACCGATTTTTTGTATTCTAACGATGTCAGAACATGAAGAGTGGTAAAAAGTAAATATAATTGTTTAGAGCCTCGAAATGATAAGGTGAAATCATCCGAATTGTTCAAAACTAGGCAGTTGCCGATAAATCCTTCTAAGTGCATTACGATGCGTATTGGTCACCGAGGTACAGACACATATACGGTGAATAACAGTGTGCTACTCGTTGTTGAGACACATAATCACTTAGGAGCCATCGTTAGTCAGGACTTCAAAGCTAGTGCAAACTGCTGTGCGATTGATGCCGATGGTTTCAGAACTTCATGGTCAATACGTAGAACCTGTAGCCATGTCTATGTTTAAACCCTTTTACTGCGTATTCAGTATTCGTCCGTCGTGAACGCGGGTGGTCAGCCTCTGTCTAAAAAGAGAGTGCCGGAATAGTGGAGCTTCAGTGTGATACTCGACTGGCTAAGCTAATCATATTTCCCTTATAAATGTAGGTCCAGTGAAATAACATAAGGTTGATATCATATCAGCTTTTCTAGATTTGCACAAAAGTTTTCAAGTGCATACACTAAGGACCATTGAAGACTTGGCCATATGAAAACCGTAACTCACTTTACCTGTTCAAAAACAATTTGCCCTTACTTTTAACCTACCCTGGAGTTACTGATATTTTTAATGAGAGCAAGAACAAAGATTGATGCAGAATAATATGAATTCATTTTATTTCGTTGGGTTCTCATCAGCCGCTCACAACCTAAAATATTTAGAATTTAACATTATTACAGATATTGACATACTTATACATAAGTGGGTGATTAAGGATGAATAAATGTATAATGGTGTAGTGAAGATTCCAGTAGGGTTAATGAGGTCATGAAATTTTGTCTCGAATAAATATATTTTGAGAGGGAAAGTTCCGGAACATTGAAATAGTGATTAGAACTCATGAAAATAAATTATTGCGTCATTACTCCAACACTTTTAAATTACACCATACATAAATGACTGATTTCAATTCATGTTTTTTTATTACCATTAGTCTATTTTCGTGAGAGTTACGTAGCACGGAGTAAGCAATAACGATTTGAAAAAAGTGATGAACCGAGTGCTTTTAGCTATAGTGTAAACAATGAAACTACGTGCGGAGTATTCTTCAGTTACATATGGTCGAATTCCTTTCCTTTTGACTGCTGATTTGACTAGGTTAGTGATCGTTCGATTATGAAGCTGTCATGAAGAATACCGTTGATAAGGAATTGTGTGAGTGATATCTTTGCAGAAAGAAAGAACCACACAAGATGAGGACGCACTTTCCAACTGCCTTCAGGACTAATTATCTTATCTAATTATCTTATCTTAGGCTCATTAAGCTTCAAAATTCTCACTTTAATCGTTTCAGAACATAGAAGACAAATTTAATGGCAATTCGTCGAACGATGAATATGACGAAAGAATAGAGATACTATTCATTAATATGGTTTACACAACAAAAGACAGGATATCTTCGATAGAAAATGAAATAAGACGGAGATTCGTTTTACTATCTGTAACATTCGTTTAAACGACCTTGATCAACAAAAACTCACGGCGGGTTTCGCGTATTGCAAGGAGTTTTCGAAGTTGGGTATTAATGTAAGTCTTCAAATGTTTCTGGTATTGTCATACTTTAGCAGTATATTAATGTCTAGAACTCACACAGATCGTTTCGCATAGCTGAATTTCTTCTTTTTCCCTCTTTAGTGCTAATGTTAACTTGCTTAAGCAAGTTAAAGACTAACAATTGTTACTCTTTAACAGGCTACTCACAGCGAACTCAACAGTTAAAAAGTAATTTACATCCAAAATACCATTTTGGTGGATGGATTTTAAATTAAAATGCAGAATATCTTTATGAATAGTTAGAGTCTTCGTCACAAACTAACAAAGGATGTAATTGTGTCCACGTTAACGCGCGGATTTGATGTATTGATGATGTATCGATGAGCATAGCGTAAAAATCGGTTACTCTCGTCCATATACATAGTTTCTGTGGTTAATAAAGTTCTGTCATGCCGAAATGCTTATTTATTTCGTCTCCCGTTTACTCAGTATTCCGTATGGTGTTTTGTTCGTGAACTGCATCAGTTTCATCATTGGATTAAGTACTCTAACACGTAATAAAGGTATGATATTATATCACTTCTTACCGCTAACACCCGTCATGTATTTTTCGCGTCATATGGAGCATAAAACTTCCACGGCTTAAATTGTAATTCATGACTAAAATAATGATGCACTAAAATTTGTGATATTTAACTTTTCATCGTTTTGTAAGCCAAATCAATAATTTCTATAGATACTTACATCTTGATTCGCTGTTTTCGTCTCTGGATTAAGCTCTTAAAGTTTACCGTTCTGTTTTAACATGCTAAATATTTCTAGCTGCATTCCGCAACCTGAAAATATATTTTCTTAAGAAGTTCCGAAATCTGAGAAAATTTGAATAAAAATCACTAACCTGTAAAAGTTTTCAGCGTTGTAGGTGCATATTCTCAAAATGTTCTTAAAACGTTAATCGAAATTTCTGAAAGTTGGAAGGCTAGGTAGTAGTATAGACGAGACTAATTTTCAGACGACCTTTTTACGACGCTAAAGTGACATCGAGAGTGTCCACATACAATTTTACGGATAAATGAGAGTTATAAATCAGTATGAGGGATAGAGGTTATGATTTACAACTGGTAGTTAGATTTAGTCATTAGATCAGCTAAAATGCCGAACCCCTATTTAATCGAATGGGCGAATGAATTTCGCGGAAAAATGTGAGACCTCTCATGCTAAGTCTGATTGGATCGTTTATAAATTACAATCTCGCTCACATTTACATGTGAAGACTTAAGCCCCTCATAGTTTTCAAACCGCTTGTCTTAATCTAGTAGTTTGTTCCTTCATATTCACTTTATCTAGTGATAGTTGTAACTGTACTTTATTCGTTCATCTACTTAGAGTTATCTCGTCACACTCCTTTTTATTACTCAAGCCATCTGGACTCAATAGTTGTCACTGGCGGCTATGGGACCTCATTTTCATAAGTACTATACATCTGTAATTAATCTCTTACAATAATTTCTGTTGTGGCACTTGGGAAACACTAATACTTATTGAGGAGTAAATGTCCGTACTAAGCTACGGTCATTGTTCAACTAAAGAATTAAGCTTAAACTTTTGTGATCACTAATGTGTTTTATATTGCTTCCTAGTCGAATTGTTTTGTTATTTTACTCCTACCTTTATTAATTTGTATGATATTAATGCACCGATGCTCTCAAATATCTCTTTTTAGCCTAGCAGTCTGTATCTGTTACTTAACTCATGGAATATTTGGCACCGCTTTCCTCATCGTTGTTTGTAATACAAAATGCCGAACACGTGTGCATTAACATGGAGAACGTTCAACGTTTAGTGGGAATGGTTAAGTTAAAATAGTATTATGATAAGTGATTAAGGTATGCGAGAAGTATTGCCCATTTGATCTGAAGTCTTGGATCAATCAGGAACTAACCCCTAGTGTTGCTGACGAACGATCAATCGAATGGTAATTTTTACCATATTAATATCTGGGGCCATCTAGGATATTTGTGACTTCTTTACTCAATTTTTCATTTTGGAGTAAGAGTCAGGATAGTTTTGAAGTGTCATATTGCAACAAAATTTATACGGGCTATTGGGCCCTCTGTGCAGCAGTTAACCGAGCTATCGATGTGAGTCGAGGAACTTTAATCGTTTGTGTCTTTAGGAAGGAGTAAACTTGTTAAATCCCAAAGTATATCAAACTGTGACAGAGGAGCAATTGAGACATATATTTCGTTCACATACAGCTGAGCCTATACCATTATTTGATGAAAGACTAAATGCTCTGAGATGTGCTGGGAAAACTTTACTTGAGAATTTCGATGGGTCATTTAAAAATGCTCTGTCCTCGTGTGAAAATTCTGCGGCAAAGCTTCTAAAGTTATTGTGTGATTATTTCCCTTCTTTCCGCGACTATAGTATATACAAAGGAAAACACGGTATTTATTTTCGTTCCTTTATCTTTTCAGTGTCATTCTTAAAACGTGCTCAGATATTGGTTGGTGATTTGTGGTACTGTTTTGAGGGCAAAGGGTTTGGGTATTTCCACGATATAGATGAGATTACTGCGTTTGCCGATTACAGGTACCAACTTTCCCTACGTATAAAATATCATTTAGAGTTCCACAAGTATTATATTATTTTGGTGCTATAGAATACAGTGAGGAATTAACAAAAAGAATACGCAATGGTATTGTTTTTTGTACATAGTTGTGCGTCGTGTTCATAATAATTTTTTGTATCTTTATCTGCTTTAAATTTATTGCATTTGGACTAAATTCTTAGTACTTATTTTTAGATACGTTACGTTGCATACTTGATTTTTGAGTTCAGTGTGTTCGATTGTAAAGCAGTTCACCAATAAAATACTGCAACAACGGTAATCAAGCAATTACAGTGGTTTTATTGTTGTCACAAACAAAAACGTTTCTTTTTAAATTATTGGACAGAAGTTATTAAGATTCAAATAAAGTCCATTCAATGTGTCATTTATATGAGTAAGTCTTTGAGTTCAACCATTTTCACTACGTTGGATGCCAAGGTTAAGAAAATGAAACTTATTATCCTGCTCATGCTTCATTGTAAATCGCATATTTAAATGTACATGGTTAAGAAGATTCAGTACGTTTGTTATGATTGCGCTGAACAAATGTATTAATAACATGCTTGACATACAGAGCCTCCTTGTTAATTATCGTCTTGCTTTTCTGTTCCAAGTCGGTCAATAATATATCTTCCACGATTGAACCTAATAGACTCCCCATAGCGACTGGATCAACTTGACGTTATGAGGCGTTGTTGAATAGGAATTGTACATCTTTTGTAGATATTAGTAAGAGCTTTTTGAAGTCATTCTTTGTTAAACAAAGGTCAGTGTGTTCATACATATTTTCTATGGCTTCAATGAAATTGCAGTGAAAAATCATGTCATCAAATGAAACCAAGCAGTAAATGTTGGTGACTAGTATCAGACCTCATTAAAATCCCATAGCTTTTGGCATCAACTAAACTAAAATTTACAAACGCACTCCGTGTGTTGTTTTTGTCACATCGATGTCGTCGAACTTCAACTGTGAGGGATTGAATCCTAATTTCCTCTTAACCGTACAATTCTCAACTTATATTTTAAAATATCCTAAAAACAGAAAACAGTTGTTTGAGCTACTTATGTATTCTTCATCTAGGTGAAGAAATTGCAAATGGAAGCGAATTAGAAGTTGAAATTCGAGCAGCGACAATACTAGCTGTGCATGTAAGCGATTCCCGAATTTTTTGATAAACAGTCTATGTAATATTAAGGTAAAATTCTGAAATCATCCTAAGGCAACTACCGACTTTATCAAGTTAGAATTGCTATTTCAATGTTTTAGGGAGATGTTTCCATATTTTTAAACTTGTTAAGTAGCTGTAAAATAAAATGATGTGCTGTTTAGAAATAGGGTTGATATTCTGTTTAAACTGAATTACTAGTTACCTGTATTCACTTATATTCAGTCTAGTCCAATTTATACGTCCAATGTCTAGTCACATTTACATCACACTGCATTTATGGACGCATAAATGATATATATCAGTCATCAATTATCCTACCTAAAGATAGTTTTTGAGTTAGTGTATATGTAATATTTCTATGATCATTTTATATCTCAGTACACTTGATAAACGGTTTTCAATTTACTGGTTGTTCGTTGTAATATAAGACCGATAATTTGCAAAGTTGGTATTTATGGTATTTTTATTTCCACCAATTCATGGCTGCAATTTATATACCTACTCTTTAACGGAATAATTGTAGTTTCATGTTACTGCATGATCTTTTATTTGTCCCCATTATAGTCAGATGAGGAAGCGTAACAAAGAAAGATCTGGTTTTTACTAAACGTATTCTCACGCTTTACATTGACTAAGAAAGCTGTATTCGGTCAATTAGGTGCCTTTTAAATTAGATATCGAATTCCATAAATGCTGTCCTAGTATCTTAAGAGTTGGCCTTTCATTGGATTTGGACCTCATTCTACTTATTTACAATCCATTAGGTAGTAATGCTAGAGTAAAAATCAAGTGGATAAAAATGTTTTTGGTAAATTAGTAATACCATGTTATCACTTTAAAAGAGGTGATTCCCTAATAGTTTTCCGTCACAAAGTTTTTTTCTTTCGAGCTGTATTTTAGACATTCAATTTAACAGAAAAGATTCAGTTGCTAATTCTTTTGCCATGGTACATATCTATTATAAAGTAGAATATATTCCAGAATGTTCGAAAAAGTTGGATAAATTATTTTGATAACATGTTTATTTATTTTCACTAAACCTGTTTGATGAATTTCTCATATATGTATCCTTACTACACAATAGAAAATCCATGGAATCTCTGGAAAGTAAGAATTATTTCGAAGAATATTTCATAGTTAATATTGTATCTATTTTCTTCTTTCAGAATATCGTCAAGTCCTTAAATAGTAAAAATATTAGTTGCAATTCAATTGTGGTGGATAATTTTCTTTGGAATTATCGACGTTCTCATGCTGATGAAATTGATGCCAAAATTCCAATGCATAGGACACGTTGCATATACTATTGATTATATAAATATGATACTTCATGTAAACACATGTAATGGACATTGCGTTTAAATCGAAAATATTGTTTATATTTTTGCAATAAATTATTAGGACTTGAGAATTATCGTCCACTTTTCAGAGGGGAATTTTTGCAACAGTTGCGGGCAAAATGTATGGAGGACTTAAAGAAATGATTATATTTTTAAAAACATTTCAGTCATTAACAGTGACTAATTAACATTCCTCCCAGGAATCTCATAGGTTACCCTTATTTGATCATGTGTCATCAAAGCATTTCCCTCGTAAATCGTGACAACTGAGCGAACAGTAGTGAAATTAGTCATTAGGTACAAGGTTAAGGTGATAAACCGGCTCATGATGCCGCTAATCTTTGAATGAGGTTTTTGTGATGCATATTACAAAATATACCGCGAAGAATGTTAGGAACACCCGAACCAGCACTTGACACCTTGTCATTAACTATTGATCATAAGTATTTTAGTAAGAGCAGAGTATCTAAAAGGGATCTGTGTATGTACATATATTGAGTGATGTAGTTCAAATGCATTCCTGTTCTTCCCTGAGATCCTGAGTCTTAAAATTGTTTTATTCACGGAATTATTTGTATCTTCCCGAATCATGTTTTCTATACTTAGTCTTTCCTACTGCTAGTGTTCCTACTATTTTGATATTCTTAATTTTTCCTTGTGCTGATTTGATTTGGCTACTTCAATGGATGTAGATTCGTGCTACTTTCCTTGTTGTTAATGTTTACCTAACTGGTAATATTGGTTGACCTTTGCCAGGAAGTAGTCAAATTTTTCAAAGATAAATAAGGCCATAAACAATTCTGTCCTGAACATGTTCATATATGAATGAGTCATGTAACATGAAATTTATTCAACTTAAGTCATGTGATCAAATGTGTGTATTATATGTTATTGTTATAATGTTTCACTGAGTAAATGACTAAAGTCAATCGTTCTACTAGTCATAAAACTAAAAGTACATTAGGGGAATTGAACTTATTAACTGAAAATAGTCGGGTTGTGTGCTATACTGTTAATTAAAACTAGATACTCATGTGTCATTTCAACATTGACAACTTTATTTTGTTTAACAATCCTAAATTCAAATGCTATATAGCTTTAGACGAATGACCTTACCCTAAACCTGGCCACTTATCGGTTTATTAGTTGAGATATATAATTGTGGAATCTGGAAAGAATTTGTTGAAAAGTTTAAACCAATAGACAGAAGTACAGTGTTGATGGTATTTACAATAGTAAATAGAGACGATAGTTAGGGACAGTATTTTCTATTTGTTAATTAATAATTGATCGACCGGATCCCAAATGGTCGTGTTAGATGAGAATACTTCATCAAAATAGGATGAAACTAGTGTGAGATATTACTTCGTTATCTCTTATAATCCAACAGACTGCATGCCAGTTAAAGATGAGTCCTATCAACGAATAATCTGTTTGAAGTATATCCTGATGATACTTCTCAAAAAGACAATGAAAGGTTCACGATTGCACCTAGATTTCTCACTCTTTTTCGACTTATTTAATTGAGTCAGAAAACAAATCACTTGACGGAAATCCATGTCACGAGTTTAAGCTGAGTTACTTTGGTCACTTGACTTCCATCCATGGAGACTTCTGTTCCCATACCTCTCACTTATTTGACTTGAGGAACAATGTATTAATCTTTATTGTATTTCCGTTCTCTGATCTGGATGGTCTAAGTATGGGACTCACTTTTATTCTGTTTGTGTATTAAATACCTGAGTACAGCAATATTATCACTGCCTTTAGTTTCTAAAGCGATTTGTGTTCTTGTATAGCCATTCCATATTTTACTTGCACTAAAATGGATTCGACGGTATAAGTAGTCCCAAAATAAAACTTCATATCGTGTTTACTTTGATTTCTGATTCCCACTGATTCATTTTTGCTGTACGGAAAGATTAATATGAACGTTGTACAATGTACAGTTAACTGGATTTCTTCTATGAGTTTTCAACTGTTCACAGAGTTTATCTAATCCATCTCGTCTCAAAATAGTAAAACTATATACAGGAAAAGTTATATCATTATTATTAATGGTTTTTTTCAATATTATATTTTTGCTACAATAAAAATTATTAGCACAAGGCATTTCAACAAGTTTCCTGTACAAAAAAGTGAATGAAACTGACAACCGCATACATATATACATAATTTAAGTAGATAAACTACCTGGAATTAAATAATTTTGCAAAGAATATTTGGATCTGTAAAACCTTTTTAGTTAAAAGCATGTTTAAGAATTTATGTTATTGATTAGGTCAACTCAGCCTGCTTGTCACATATTACATATTTTAGATACCTATGCTCGCGTGCATGGATTCCAATGTACTGGCGTATCGTTCTACCAGAAGATATGAATAAAGGAAATGGTTGTTGTCTGATAATATAATAAGTACCAGGAGTTTGCAAGACTTTAGATGTCTGTCCATAACCAAATTAATAATGACCCCAAAAGATTCACCACACACCCTGCTAACTACTCTCAGCACTCCGCGATACAGAAGTCTTTTCTCAAAAGCCGGGGAATGAATAGTAGGTAATATGCAAGAATCGACAAACTGTAAGAGTAAATGGTGAGTAATCACAAAAGCATGCATCTCCTTTATGTAGTAAGTGAGATTGAAAACTCTTTTCAATAACAATAAAACATGAGAAGACCAAAATAGATCAGAAGAAAGACTTACACTAAGGTGAATAACTGCTAACACTGTTTATCAAAGAATCTGCCATAGTACAAGGATTATGTTTCAGACTAGAGTCAAAATTTTTCCATTTTGATGGGTTAAGCGTGAGTCTATTGTCCAAGCTGACTAGTTGTCTGAAGCGATTTAACTATTCTGTATAATTAAGGCTACTTTTGTGGGAAATATTCATGTCTTAAACAACTTATAATCATCAATCGCTTCAGGATTAAATGTAAATCTTAAATACCTTCTGTACACGCTTAAAAAGTAAACATTGTTCTTGTTAAACACAAAGAAACTATAAAGTAAAATGGTTTACTTGTATTTACCAGCAGATGTAATTATTTAAGAATGTTACACAGGCATGACAACTGTCTTGCCGCGCGCTCAGAAATTATCAGAAGTGAAGCTGGCTACTCAATATTAAAAAGTAGTATAAAGTAATGCACAAAAGTGAATTGAATGAGCAGATAATGAATGGAGCTAACGCAAACGAACATAACAGTGTGTATTTTAGGCGAGAAAGATGGTTAATATTGAAGCGAATTATGATAGTTGGCCTCCGTTACTTTGTTAGTTGTTAGATTTCTCAGGAAATAAGAAATTTCCAAGTTAAACTCGGGAAAAGATTTTATTTCATACACATAGTTCCCTTTATCATTTTGAAAAGAGCAAGAACAAAGATTCTAGCAGAATAACATGAATTCATTTTATTTCGTAGGTTCTCGTCAGCTGCTTACAACCTGTGGTATTTAAAAATCATAATTACATAATGGGTTTAAATTGCTTACTGAATATTGTGAGTATATACCTAATGTGAAGGAACATTCTACAACATTAATTGTGACAACAGTTCAAAAGTGGGTTAGAAACAATTGATTACATAATGAATAAATATTGATAGGAATGTAGTGAGTAGAGTTCAGTTGAAAGATTATTAATTTGAAAGATATTTGAAAAAAATAAAATCAATGATGTAATAAATAAAAAGAAAAAAAATTAAATTTTTTTAAGGTGCAGTGAAAGAATATTTGTCACCAAGCCAAGGAAAGATTAACCACCGTCTCCTTTTGAATACATAGGTCAGGTTTTTGACGCCTGATGGCAATGGCTTCAGCAAATTTCAGAAGACTGGAGTTTGGCTGCTTAATAATCACCCTAAAGGATTGTATGGTATCTATCTGATGTCCTGTATCAAGGAGATGTTTGGTGATTGCACTGTTTAGAGTCTTTCTTTCCCTTGTCCTAAGACTTTTTGGAACATGTTCAAAAAATCTAAGGTTTGCGCTCCTTTCAGTTCGGCCGATGTAGCTGCTTTGGCAGGTACACGTAAATTTATAAATACAGTTGGCGGTAACATGAAAGGGGTGCTTGTCCATCTTTGATTGGGTTATTGAACATGTTGTTTTATCGAGAGTTAAAAGTTTGGCAGCCTATCAATGTTTATTCATTATGTAATCAATTGTTTCCAACCCACTTTTGAACTGTTGTCACAATTAATGTTGTAGAATGTTCCTTCACATTAGGTATATACTCACAATATTCAGTAAGCAATTTAAACCCATTATGTAATTATGATTTTTAAATACCACAGGTTGTAAGCAGCTGACGAGAACCTACGAAATAAAATGAATTCATGTTATTCTGCTAGAATCTTTGTTCTTGCTCTTTTAAAAAGATTTTATGCCTGACTAGATAAAGCATTCTCAATTATGTTTTCTAGTAATAGAAGTACTTTTCATCCTTTTAATTATAAATATACACCTGAACTAAAAAGATCAAGATCGTCACTATATTTTTGTCAGTTGTTTATAAAATAAACGAGAAAAATATGTACACATTTTCTTTATTACTTCTCAACCATACAAATTGAAATGAATTGTCATACTTGGAGGGATATATACACCGATTCTCTTCCATAAACTTGTGAAAGTAGACAAATAATATTGGTGTTGAATTACATTATCTATGTGCAAGTACATTAAATCTAATCCATGCATAAAAATAGCTGTAACTTTAATAATCTTTTTTGGAATTCATCCAAACTTCAGATAAGAGGAGCTTACGATGATTTCTTTACAAGTGGTTAGCAGCTTATTTCGTCAAACTTAAGCTTGTTTAGTGTTTACTAATACCCGTTCTATCATTTCTCACACTTATTTTGATGATTTTCTCCCTTGTCTTGACTTCTGGATTTACACTTATTTATCATTTTTCGAATGGATTGATAATTTGGGCCGATTTCAGTGAGGTTATTAACTTCCGAATGACTTGAGTACCAAGTTTCTAGAAGTCAAGTTATATTATTTGTGTCGTTGCTGTTCAAGACACCAAGGTCCTTCCAGTCGCAGATGTATCTAC